AGACTTAAAAAAACAAATGTTCACATTATTTTTAGATTTTTTTTCACATTTATCACATTACACAAACACAACTGAACTTTCCCCCAAGGTCAAGGAGATGTATCTGTTTTGACAATCATTAAAATCATTTCATATAATTCCAAAAAAGCTATCAATCATGGTGGTGTTGTTGACTGAACATCTCATTAGGTGTACAAATTGAAACACTGGACCCAGAAGCCCTTTAAGATATTATTGTAATCAAAAGGTGGATGACGAATTGTAGATCTTCTCTGTGCAGACTGTGCTCCGTCTTTTAACCTCTTTACTGCTTTTGCGCTCTTTTTCTCCTCTTTACCGGGACAGTTTTTAGACATCAGGAATCCAAAGTTTCTACAGACGAGATACATTGACTATCACTTTAAATGATGTGGTGCTGATGAGGGAGTTAAAGCATCTCAGCATCTCGGGGTTAAAACCATCAGCCCCAAAATACACTGGCAATGTTTCAGTCTGACAACACTGCCAATAAATACCTCCAGGTTGTGACGCAGACATGGAACTCTTTGGAAATCAACCATTACAGCCACTTTTCTTCTCAAATTGACTGAACACTACTGGGTTAAAAGCCACTTTTAAATGAGTGGATTTCCCATCTCTTGAACTCCATCATATGAAATACACGAGGAGTTAACTAAAGATACTTTTGAGGATGACTGTTTAGTAACCCAGAGATGACGGTATGAAAAAAAGGAGTTGATTCAAAATCACATGTCGTTTTTGGTGAGGCTGATGTCATGGTGATGTGAAAGAGAGCCTCTGTTTCTCTCCTCCCCCCCCCCCCCCCCCCTGCAGCTCTCACCCAAGAAGACCTGGGAGGGCTTCATCGGGGGTTACTTCGCCACAGTGGTGTTTGGCTTCATCGTGAGTACTATATATATATATATATATATATAGAAATGTTATTCATTGGGATAAACCCCTTGAGATGCACCATCTCGTTTTCAAGGGGGTCCCAACAATAGTAACAACTTACACTTGGTCTGCTTTTTACAATTTTTATTTTTTTTAGAACAGACTCAGATGTTATCGGCTTGAAAATTCTAAATAAGTGATGGCCTTTGCCAAGATGTACCAGTTATTGTCAGTCTCAGCAACGAATGTTCTTTTTGTTTTCCAAATAAAATTAAGAGGGAAAATATTGTTTAGTGACCACTTTCACTACCAGCTAGAGATGTCTATAAGCATTCAGCTGGTGGAAATGTCCACATGTTGTATGTGACGGTTTCCCAAAAGCATGATTCTGACCTCAACAAATGTTTTGTTTTATTGTCGTTCTTCAATCATTCCACTGAGCTGGAAGTTGATCTTTCCCTTGTGTCTTGTGACCCCCAGCTGGCCTACCTGCTGTCTCAGTGCCAGTACTTTGTGTGTGTGGGCTTCAACAGTGAGACCAACAGCTTTACAGTAGAGTGTGAGCCCTCTGAGATATTTCTGATGCAGGAGTACACGCTCCCTGCTGCGCTGCAAAACATACTGACATGGGTAAGACTTTGCCCCTTTTCCATTCCTTTTGAACTGTTTTTCCTCAACTAAGACCATTTGAGAAATATAATTGTAATATATTATTGTACATATACATACATTCAAATAGTGTATAGATAATGCGATAGAAAGACTCATAAGCAACATGTGGCTAAATCCCTCTTTCATGTAGATAGAGAACAACAATTATTTTATATTTGAGCTTATTTAAAATATAAATATATTGGAGTCAGGCACTCTGGTACAATATTCTGGCACCAGACTATGTATCTTTTATTCGACATGTTACTTTAATTCTCATGTTTATGTATCTTATTTGATCTTTTATTGCACATTCTTTATTCCTATATTAAATGATACACAGTGGTGGAAAGTAACTGAGTATATTTAGTAGTACGAATTTGAAGTACTTGAGTTTATTCATTTAATGCTATACTTTTACTCCACTATATTTAAATGGGAAATTATGTAATTTAATCCACTCATTTAGGTCTAACAGGTCTGGTGGCCTTTCAGATTTTGCATTAAAAACATGTAATACACTTTGAACATAATGCATCTCTAAAGATATAACTGTTGCAGGTACAAAACAAGTTAAGCATTTATTTCAAAAGTTCTTTACATTAATATTGTGTGGATCAAAACTTTATTTGTCTACGACACTAAAATGCAACAATGAATAATGTCATATATAATACGAAATGACATATTTATTCTTCAGTTAGTATCTTAACTTTTTATACTTTTAAGTACATGTTGCTGATAATACTTTTAAATGTAGGAATTTTGAATGTAAGACTTTGCTTGCAGCTGTGTATTTTTACAATTCACTATTGCTACTTTTATTTAATACAAAAAAGGTACATTTTATTGTGTTTATATTTTTATTTAATTCATTCTATAATGGAACCACTAACGAAAAACTATTTCCCTCCGGGATTAATACATTATTTATTTTTCTGATTCTGATCAATCTGATATGCTTTGCCGTTATTTAGATTATTTTCCACAATATCAATATCCGGACAAAGAGAAGATCAGAGCGAGGATTTTCCATCCAATCACAGGCGTGTCCTCTTCTCTCTGTTATAGAAAACGGTGAACATGTACCCCTTCCAGATCCACAGCATCTTCCTCTCCTCCTTCGGGTCTCTCATCGGGCCTTTCGGCGGCTTCTTTGCCAGCGGCTTCAAGAGAGCCTTCAAAATCAAAGTAAAGAATTAGGATTGTTGTTTGCATTTTTACTCTTGTCTTTATGTCTCATTTTATTGTTTAAGCGTCTTCCCTTGATTCTGTTTTGATGGGATGAGATGTACCAGCACAATTTCAATGTATTGTCAGAAGTCATGAGTAAACATCTGTGCAAAACTATGTCATACATTAGGCACACATAGGGGCTACTTTAAATGTAAAATTAGTCTGCCAATCCTAAGGTCAGTGGTTCAATTCCCAGCCCCTGCTGTCCACATGTCGATCTTTGGGCAAGATGCTGAACCCCCATTGCTTTCGATGACATGGCCAACTGTGTGTGAGGCTGTATGGCATCCTCTACCTCTGTATGAATGTGTATGAATGTTGACTTATCTCTAAATGCACTTTTTAATGGTGTTTAGGAATGGGGAACAAGGGCTATATTAATTCAGTCCATTACCCAAAACTCATTCAAATTTTGCATTATTCCTACGGTGGCCCGGAGGTGGAAAACACGATTACAACGGCCCAAAACTCTTACATTAGGAGAAACCCACTGCACATTCAAGACCGATGTAAACATTTAAATTCCAGTCTGCCAGAACACATGAAAATGATGAAACATGCACAGCATTTACTCCAAAGTGCTGCATAACGAAAGGTTGCAAACGCCAAAACGCTGCCAAATAAAAAAACACTGGAAAGACTCAAAACAGAAACTGCTTTCTAAATGTTGTGGCATTTGTTGTCAGTGTGGCGAAGATGTTTCTTAATTTGCACGTTTTGGCACATTTGTGTTTTTTCGTCTGCATCGTTTTTGAAACTGCAGGGTGTTTTCCTCAACAGAAGTGTTTTGGCCCGATTGTAACCCGTCTGCCCCCCGTCAGCCAGTCATGTCATTATTTTAACACTGATCAAATGCACCCAACTGTCTGGAGCTCCACTTTGAGCTACAACCTTACAGACAGAAACTGGTTGTGAACCACTTCAGCCGTTGTGAAGAGCAGAGATTTTCCTTAAAGTGACAGGTCGCTCGGCAGTGATTTGCGTAATCCCTCAGTCATTACTGCAGGCTGTGGAGGTTAACTGCAGCCTCCTGCTGGCTTTGGAGGTGAACTGCAGCCTCCTGCTGGCTGTGGAGGTGAACTGCAGCCTCCTGCAGGCTGTGGCGGTGAACTGCAGCCTCCTGCTGGCTGTGGAGGTGAACTGCAGCCTCCTGCAGGCTGTGGAGGTGAACTGCAGCCTCCTGCAGGCTGGGAGGTGAACTTCAGCCTCCTGCTGGCTGTGGAGGTGAACTGCAGCCTCCTGCTGGCTGTGGAGGTGAACTGCAGCCTCCTGCTGGCTGTGGAGGTGAACTGCAGCCTCCTGCTGGCTGTGGAGGTGAACTGCAGCCTCCTGCAGGCTGTGGAGGTGAACTGCAGCCTCCTGCAGGCTGTGGAGGTGAACTTCAGCCTCCTGCTGGCTGTGGAGGTGAACTGCAGCCTCCTGCTGGCTGTGGAGGTGAACTGCAGCCTCCTGCAGGCTGTGGAGGTGAACTTCAGCCTCCTGCTGGCTTGTGGAGGGTGAACTGCAAGCCTCCTGGCTGGGGAGGTGAACTGCAGCCTCCTGCTGGCTGTGGAGGTGAACTGCAGCCTCCTGCTGGCTGTGGAGGTGAACTGCAGCCTCCTGCTGGCTGTGGAGGTGAACTGCAGCCTCCTGCTCGCTGCCTCGGTTGCCTCACCACTAAGCTCCAAGCTTTGCAAGCCATTTTTTCACAGCACAACTGAGCCAGGCAGTGTTTGTGTAGTCACATTCTCCCCCTAGTGACACCATACTATATGCAGTGGTGGAAACTAAGTACTTTGACTATTTTGACATATTTTCCACTTTCCTTGAGTATTTCCGTTTATGCTACTCTAAACTTCTACTCCATTGCATTTCGGAGTCAAATATGTTAGCTTTTACTTCACTAGACGTATGTTACTAGCTACTTATTACATGTCAAAATGCACTTATGCTAATATGACAGGATGAAGTCGTGTACTACTAATGAACCCAGTATTTTATATAAAATCAGGTCCACTTTGACAAAGTACAAATTATTTCACATGTACTTGTGAAGGATAAAAAAAAAAGAGTATAACAATATAAAACTGTGAAAAGAGCCATAGTGAGTACTACTTGAATTCAGGACTTTTACTTGTGATGCAATACTTTTTGACTGCAGTATTTCTACTTTTACTTAAAGTGGACCGATCATGCTATATTTGAAAAATATATTGTAGGGCCATACCTATACAAAACATGTCTGTGAAGTTTAAAAAAAAAAAATACCAAACCGATCCTGCATTTTAGCCATGCCTCATTTAGCTCTATTTGCTCTATTCCAGCCCTGTTTTTGCAAGGGCTGATTCTGTGACGTAGCTTTAATGCAAATGAGCTGCAGGAGAGGGGAGCGTGCTCTGATCAGCTGCTAGGCTCTCAGAAGAGGGGGAGGAAAAGAGAGGCTCCGTCCTCCGTGTTTTATTCGTATATGATTATATAGTTGTTATTCATTTGTTTTAAAGCTCAATAAATAACAAAGAAGACCTTTTGACCGGCACTTTTCAAATTTTGTCCGGAAAATTTAAACTATAGCGGACATGTTGACCGGCGGAAAAAAATGTGTGCAACGGAAACTCTGCCGCACGGTCCCTTCGTTCCTTGGAAGAGGCGGAGAGAGTGGGTTGTTTGTCATCTGCTGGTGGACTACCGGAGAGAATTACAGCAGCAGGAGCAAACGATTGCCTCGGGGAGGGAGAAAAAGAGCCACAGCGGAGAATAAACAGAAGGGCAACCATGCGCGGGGAAGTCTTCTTCGCTGCTTTTGTGGCAGACTACAGCGCCACTTACAGGCCTGGCATATGTACTACAGCGTCTCCAGCGCTTTCGAGTGGTCTCGTGTGAACGGATACGTCTCGTGTGAACGAACCACTATTCCGGGCCTACGTCAGGTCTGATGGAATCTGTATCCGCTCGTTGTAGCCCCGTTTTTAAAAGATTTGGGTACGGAGGAAAAGAGAGAGGGTTTTATTTTCTGACGCTGCGTGAGTTCCCCGACGCACCGGGGACACATATTTATGTATAAAATACATCACAAAGTGCATTTTGCATGATAGGTCCCCCTTTAAGTGAAGAGTCGGAGTGCATCTTCCACCGCTGACTGACTGTGTGTTTGACAGGGGATCTTTGTAAATCGCCAGCATTGTAACACAAGAGTAGCACTAAAACAATACAAATGGGGAAGACGATGAAGAGACTAAATTATGCTCTTGATGGAGTTCTGCTGTAGTGACACCCTGCTCTCTGCTCTCCTGCAGGGACTTTGCCAACACCATCCCCGGACACGGCGGCATCATGGATCGATTCGACTGTCAGTACCTGATGGCCACCTTCACACACGTCTACATAGCCAGCTTCATCAGGTGAGGAGAGCAACCAGAGGCGATGGTGAAATAAAACAAAACTGTTACCAGGTCCTTTACAGTCATTAAAAGTGGTATATTTGCTTTCCATCCCCAAGGCCAAACTCCGGAGCTTCGGGGATAGAGCCTTTTCTGTGGCAGCCCCGAAGCTCTGGAACTCCCTCCCCCAATACCTCCGTGAGTCTGAGTCCCTCACCCTGTTCCAGTCCCGCCTCAAAACCCACCTCTTCAACTCTGTATCCATAAGCACCCCCCCTTCTCAACCAACTTCCTCCTGACTGCTTTTCTGTTTTGTTTTGTTTCTTTTTGGCTTTGTTTTTGTTTTGTTTGTCTACCCTCCCTCCCAAATGTAAAGCGTCTTTGGGTTCAAGAAAAGCACTATAGAAATAACATTTATTATTATATGTTTGTATTTCTTTTTTTGTAAAGCTTCAGGTGGCTGTTTGAAAAAAGGTACCACGTTCTGAGTTAAATGCAAATATATATCTTGATCAAATAATAGTGTATATATACATTATTAAGGGTGTTAACTGATTACAAATGTTATCCCCTTAATCCCAATAATAATCTTTGATTAATTGCAAGTTTAAAATACTAGTATTAACTTGTATTTGGGGGGAGACGAAACAAATACACATGCAAGCGATGCATGGCAAACTGTTAGGAGAAATCAGAGGGACGGTATTATAACAGCTTAGTTTTGATGATTTTTCCGCTGTCATGGGGAGCCACTTATGATATATGGTAGTATCCTTGGTGCTGCTTTCAAATTACTAGCACCATCTGTTCCTACAGTGTTGACATGTCCGCCATCGGCCACTTCTGTTTAACTTTAAGAAACTGGTTAGCACCTGACTCAGCAAAACGCCTTTCATCCGTTAATACCACACCTACAGCAAACGAGTGCAGAACATTTGTTATTGCTTCACCAAAGTAATGATGGCTCTTACTGATGTCCAGCAGTCTCCAGCCAGTAGAATACATGTAGCTTGGGCCAGTTCCTCCGCTTTCTGTGCCTTCTTACTGCCATGTGATTCATGGTATACATCTGGGCTGCAATTAGGGGAGGAGGTTCGGGTCAAATGTTGGTAATGTGATTCATTAGAGTTTATTCAACTGAGGAAAGAAGCAGAAGGTGAAAGTCCCCCGACAGTCTGAGCCTTTAACAGTATAACTAGGGGCTGCTTCAAGGCAAGCCTGAGCCAGCCCTAACTATAAGCTTTATCACTAAGGAAAGTCTTAGCCCTGCCCTTAAATGTTAAGAGTGTGTCCGCCTCCCGAACACAAACTGGTCCCACTGAAGAAGGGCTTGATAGCTGAAGGCTCTGGCATAAATGTTACTTTTGGAGACTCTAAGACCAACTTATAATGCATTCTGGTAAATGTAATGCCCTGGTCCCTTTCCACATTCCACTGGGGTCACATGGCATTGTTGTCTTGCAGGGGGCCGAACCCGAGCAAGGTGCTGCAGCAGCTGCTGATGCTTCAGCCCATACAGCAGCTCGGCGTCTTCCACACTCTGCACTCCCACCTGAGAGAGAGGGGCATGCTCCCCCCAGCCGCCACTCCCCAGGCTGAATGAGAGGCCGCCTGCTTCGCTGGGGTGACGACTGGAGAGTGTGTGATGGTTTGGAAAGTTTGTGTAAGCTTGTACACACACACACACACACACACACACACGCTCTTAGGTATGGCGTCATCGTCATCCTGCCGACTCTGCATTCGACTTCCAACCAGCGCAAAAATCACAACTTTGAACCTTTGGTGACTCTCCAGACTACTTGGGAATACCTTGTAGTAAAAAAAGAAACACACAATACCAACAATAATAATAAAAAAAAATAGGCTGCTTCATTGCTTTTTTTTACGTGGACCTGCGCATAAACTTCAACATGCTTCACGGAGAACAGGCAGTCCCCACCCTGAAAAGGTACAGACGGAGCTGTTTTCTAGAACAAACGGACCCTTGAGCACGTGGCTTTCTTGGCGCCGGTGGATGGCTGATGTGCGGTTTACCTGTGGACGGCAAATATTGCACTGACTTTAGCTGAAGAAACACATTTAAGAAGCTTTTACCAGCAGAAACGGGGCCCAAAGTGTCGCGGACCTGAGCTACAGCACACGGACTGTGGAGACTCGTCTTTCTGGTCTTGTCTGAATACTGTAGACACTGTTTTATATACTCTGCTCTATGTAATGGTCCTAACCTCACAGCGTAACAAAACATGTAGCATGTACGCAAGTCCTGTTTTGGGCTACTGCTGAACTAAGCCATGTTTATTCTCTTCTTCCACAGCGTGAACTCTTAGCTTTTAGGTTTTGTCTGAATCTAAATAACTCGCACAACTTAAAGTCAATAAAGATTGACGGTAGGCATGTTAACGCAGAAACTAGAGCATCAGCACTCAAGTTAATGGATTTGTATATAAATATACTGAAAATATTTAGCTAAATAAATATCTAATACATATTCTAACTACTTGTGTGACCTGCTGAGGAAAAGAAAAAAAAAGACTTAAGCTATGAGAAAAATATATGCAAAACTAGATATGTGACTTGTAGCCTTTAGCATGAACAAATTAGATTTATGAGGTAGGGATGTAGATTTGATCTATGGTTGCTGATTATTTAAAGGGTGTGCTAGGTGAAGCTTTACGAGAGCGCATAAAGGATTTATAGGAATAGTTGGACATTTGGGAAATGCGCTTAACGTTCCGTTTAATTGGTTTATACCCACTCTGTAGCTGGAAGGTTAAAAGCAGAAAGATTTAAGATGTTTTCTAAAATCTGCCTACCAACACGTTAAAAGTCACCAATTAAGAAAAGCTAGCATTGCCATTTTAAAGGGGCCCTCATATGCCTTTTGAGTTTCCTTTCCTCTTGTGTATTATATAGGTTTACTTGCATGTAAATGTTCTAAAAGGCTAAACTCCATAAGTTTAGCCCCCCCCCCCTGCCTGAAACACCTCCACTTGACTCCTTTGTTTACTTCTGCACTGTTACACTCGCGCTTCTATTGGTTAGTGCTCAAACATATTGAACGTGATAGGCTAAGGGTCTTTAAGTTGACCATTCACATCTGGTTTCAGACGGAGGGTGAAAAGAGGTGCTGCAGTATGAGAAAATAAGACCTTTCTCAACATAAGAGCATGTGAATGTGTCACAGTAGAGGCACAAAATACAATTATGAAACCTTGATATGAGTACAATAGGGTAGAATGTTGTGGTGCTTAAAATGGATGAATCCATTACTTCAGAAATGTAAAATCAATCTCTTCTCCTCCATTCTTTTTAATGTCAATGCAAGAATTAGGTAGAACTTTTTGTAATTTAAAAAAAAAAAAGTATGATTTAGAGGCAAACAGGTATTACGTTATGCTTCCAGTCTTTAATGCTAAGCTAGGCTAATGGCCGCCACACTGGCCTAGATACAGGAGTGCCATATTGATCTCATCCATCTCTGGGACAGAAAGCGCATTTCCCAAAATGGTGACACGTATTCCTTCATAAAGACTGCTTCCGTTATAAAATGTAACCAATGATTTTAGTTGCACTGTAGCGCGGGGGGGGGGGGTGGTGGTGGTGGTGGTGGTGGTGGTGAGGAGAATGCATCGGACCACTCTGAAGGTTCCCGCATCCTCGGACTCAGTGTGTTTTAAATGTTTAAAAATAACTATTTTAAAATCTTCTTAGGCATTAAATCTCTGTTAAATTATTACGTTCTGAATGTAGATTGCAATATAGGATGTTATCAATGATGACAGTGCTGTATTTCCACATATCTTTAAGTATATACAAATCGGACGGGCAGTGGTTTTATGAGCAATATCTTAACAGTTTGATTTCTTAGAACGTGATCATTGAATTCCTCTGGAAATCTGAGGCATTCATGAATGAAGATGATGCATATAGGCGAGTTGATTGGCAGCACCATGCGGGCCGATGAGATCCTCTGAATCCTTTATTCAGAGAGAAATGTTTACCAAAGCACTGTCTGATTATCACTGATTTCTTTCCTTTGCTAACATTTGCATCTGTGGCTTGTGCAATTGCTTTCACTCTATCCTTCCTCCAGTGTTAACGAGGAGGATGTTCTAATTTATTTGGTCAGTTTTTTCTGTTCATGTTTCCCTCAGAAGTGCATTTTAGGGTGTATTCCCCATAAGAAGTGAATGGGGGTGCTGCTGGGTGGACTGTTGGGACCAGCTGTATTGTACTGTATACATATCTGACTTAAGCCTCTCTGTGGCAAAACACACACTACTGCTTCACACACTTTTCTGTGGTTGACCTTCACTGTCCAGCAAGATGAAGTAAAGCATGTATCAACACGGACGGTGATCACACTAAAGCATTACGACCAAAACTCAACTCAAGACAGCAGGTGGCCAAATGATTTGGATTATTTGGAGTGTGCCACCGGAATAACTAAACACTAAGTGAATCTGTCAAAAGATCAAAGCATTTAATGACTCTAAAGTGATTTAAAACGTTTACATTTTAAGGATGCAATAGGACTTTGAAACATGGAAAGTATAACAAAGTTATACAAATATAATCTGCCTCAATTAATGGTTATTTTAATTTTTAAATGAATACATGTACAATGTTCAACCATTTAACCTGGTAGTATTGATTAAATGAACAATTCCATTTATTTATTTTTAATCAGTCGTTTCATTGTTTTGTTTTTTTCTGTAAATGTCAGGAAAAAAATCCCTTTTGAGAAGTTTTGAATGGATAAATGAGTACATAAAAACAATTGATTATTACATTTTAGTTGATGGTATAGTTAATCAATCAGCTGTCAATTTGTTGGATAATTGTATCAGTATAAACGGAATATAAAATGTAGGTAGTTTCCAAACGCATTTATTTAAACCAACATTATTTATTCTTAAAGGACAAACTATTCATTTGCAAAAAGAAACGGTTAAATCGTTTTAATCAAATACATTATAACAGAGGATTAAGGCTGATGTGATCATTTTGGAGATGACAAAGTGATTTTTTTTATTTAGAGTTTCTCAATTTTGATTTAATTCTCAACAAAAATGACTTTGGGTCGCATTTTTATATATAAAAAGAGAAATATCTGGCATTAATCGTCTTCCATACATCATTAATCATTTATTCCAACGTAATTATTTCAGTGTCACTTTTTATTATAAATGAGAAGTGTATTATTACATTGGCACATTCCACAGATTCACAGTTGCCGTTTGAATTGGAATGAAGTTGTTGTGTGGACTCATTTTATATCTGTATTCAAGTTATGAAGGTAAAGCACAACCATGAAGATAGGAAATATAAGTTTTGTAACCCAAATGTCAGGTAATGATGCACTGCAGATGTTTGGTTCCTTGTTTTTTTTTATTTATCATTTTGTGAATATTTTTGTTTGATTTGCTTTGAGCAGGAATGTTTTTCTAATGAAATCTTTAACTTTTGGAGGGGAGAAGATCAGAAATGACACGAAGTATGCTTTTAATATCGGGGCAATACAAAGTAATGTATAAAAACACATATTGATATCTTGTTGGGGATATTGTGAAGCTGTTTACTGTTTGGAGGTAAATAAAGTTTTTTTTTCTGTAAAATGTCGTACATTTTGTTTCTTATGTTTAAAAAATAACAAGACTAAGAAGTTCCACATTGAAGGAGTTATTTCAGATTTATTCAGAAAACAAATGTTGACAGTTTTTGATTTGACACCTCGTCACAGACATGAGTCTCTCTGAGGTCAGTTTTAAACACATTATTATAATCACATCACTACAGCACAAACAGCGACACCTTCTGGAAAAAAATGATAATTTCCAGTTTTAAACTATACAATAACAGAGTTGACATTACTTAATAAAGACAGGATTGAAAGAAAAACCTGAAATCATGACTTCAAGTGAAATAAAACAAAAGCCATGCACAACCTGGCCTTTTTTCTTCCTCTTTAAATGGAGTTGTGGGTGGGATTTAAGTGCACAGTTGTCCTACTAAAAATAAAACGGCTGACGACATGGACATAACTGTAAAGGTGAGATGGCATAACTGGGCATTCCAAACACAAATCTGATTTATAAGCAGTGCAATTTGACATGTTATGGCCATACCCTTTCAATGTTTAAAGTGCTAATACTACAGACGTATTCAGTGTACCTGTTAGCTGGTTTGCTAATAGGTGAACTCCAACATTTACATTCTTGTCAAAATCTGAGAGCAGACAAACATTGAGAAAAAAATCAACCTTTCCTTGTTTTATACAGACTATTTAAATACTTTAGCTGAAGTATTTTTTTCTGCAACATGCTTAGCAAATCTTTGCTAGATAAATAAGCGGTTAAATTAATAGCTGATAAGGCTACATTTTAAGCAAAACAGTCGGACGGACTTTTCACCTTTACTTGGCACAGAAAACCGAGTTAAACCTAGTAAGTAATAGTTATAAATGCTTGCTTTCTCTTTGATTGAAGTCTATAAACGGCTATGTTAGGACTCAAACTAGCTCATATGACTTCAATTCATCCCTGTATACAAAACAGCTATTACCCAGTTTGACCCTTTTGCTACGTCAGGATGAAAATCAAAGTGAAAACCATCTTATGGGTCATAAAACAGCTAGCTTTCGAGAGTTTTAATATGATTTGCGAACAAAACTAGCATTAGTTTCTTCTTAAATTATTGTTTGATCAAAATAAATGAAATGATAGGCTTTGGCCATCAGTATCATCCTGTCACCACCATACTTTGGCTTTTAATATGTGTGGTCACCTCTAATCCCATTTACACAGATTCCTTTTCAACATTAGAAGCAGTTTTAAAAGTTGAAAAAAGAATATCCTCTTCATGTGATTCTCAATGCAATCGCTAACAGTTACTCTTTCAGAGACCCTAGCATTTAGGGAACAATGCCTCACTGCTCTGTGAGTAAGTTTCACTTCTGTAGCTACTTCCCTTTAAGCTAACTAGGTTACTAAAGCATTGAATGGCACTCTTGTCTCGTCATCTTCCTTTTCTACAACACTTCCCCTGGTCGGGCCTGTCAGGACAGAACATTAGCCGTAGCATTGCTAGCCCACCGCGCACCAACAGCCTTAGAACAAGAAAAGCAAAGGGCACCGTAATCTCCATCAGGTGGAAATCGAGGCACTAAATTTACTCAGAATACAAGTAAGGAAAAACGTCCCAAGAGCTACGCAGGGGTACAGAGATAGCTTAGCTAGCATAAACACATGCTCGCGTCCGCCATATCGTACGTAAGGGTGCAGAGTTTCTTGTTCGTTGTAAAGAGCGACCACCCAAATAGCGAGCTGAAATATACCAGCAAAGAAAATGATCACGCAGCTGATCTGAATGGCTTCTAGTTCATTGCGAGAGTTGCGTGGGAATTCCTGCGTTAGCTGGTAGGCTAAAGGCAATCCTCCGACAAAGGCCAGCGAGAAAGTGTTGAGCATGCTCATGAAGCGCGTTGCCTTGGTTACATGGAGGAAGAGCGAGTGGTGCACAAACCACAGGAGGCCGACGGTGGCGAAAGAACCAAAGTAGGCGAGGTACTCTGGGCCGTAGTCCTGCAGAGCTGCTATCAGGCTCCCGCCAAACTGTTTCTGCACCACAGTCGGGTCTGGAACATTGTCCTCGCTAAAGAAATGCAACCAGAGACAATACATGTTAAGTGTCCAGTGCGATTTTCTCACTGTTTTATTGGTAGGCTATTTGTAATACTATGAATAAATGTGGGCACTTTCCAAACATTAGCTAGCCAGAAGTTAGCATTGTATGTAACCATTACCAGTGCATAAATACAGTGGGTGCAACATGTGCATAGGATGTATGCATATATGATTTTCTTTATAGAGCCACATCATGGGATCCCCTAATGCATGGTAGCATAATAGCTTTGTGATTTAGCTGTCTATAACAATATAACTTTGTCCTATGTTTACACATTCAAGAAAATGTAATGAAACCCACCATATGTCTAGGATGAGAAGCGTTGCTACGATGGCGTAAACTCCATCGCTGAACGCCTCCACTCGATCCTTGCTGAGGGGCTCCTCAGGTAGGAAGGTGTAAAACAAAATGGAGTCTGGAGTCTCCTCCACCTGACCTGAAATGCACAAGGACCCGTAATGAATTGCAACTACATCTACTCCCAAAGTATATCTGGCTAGAGGTTAGCTCATATTTCCTGTGTTACTCACTATAGCATGTAGTACTTACCAATTGCTTTGCTGCGACACCACTTCAAAGACCTAGAGATGTACGGCAGGAAGATGACAATTGCCAAGAGCACGTAGGACTGAAAAACAAAATCGAAATGTTACAAGAAAGAAAAGATTTACAGCAGCAACAGTTGAGTTTAAAGTTGCTGTTTCCGAATGAAATGTGTGCTGAAACAATTAGCCGTAACATATAAATGAATTGTCATTAAAACGCAAAATTCTGTCTGCCTCTTGGCCACGGTCTCCCTTTCACAATGAAAGCCTCGGACAAACACAGTAAGTATCAAAACCTTCCTACTAACTTTGGTATTATTACGATTGTTTCTTGCTTTGGACAGTAGCCTGCCTGCTAGCATTTAGTCAAGTTGCTAACGATATATCCTTTAACTGCCAGCGCCACCATTTGGTAGAGCACATTTTGTGTCTTGATATCTTGTTGAAAAAAAAGAAAAAAAGAAGTTGAACTCCATCTGATTCAGCCAGCTCTACCTTCTGGTTGACATGTTATGCACAAAACAACCTCTAGATGTCACTGTGGTTCGAACAGAAAACCCTTCAGCTAGCTTCCACTGAGGAAGCTGGCAATGCTAAAAATCACTGCTGAAGAAATCACTCTTTTTGGTCAACTTTTGTAAGGGAACCATATCCTTTTTGACATATTCTAGTGTCAGAGCACTTACTGAACATATTTAGATAACTTGATGCACAAAAAAAGGTTTAACAAGGGTGTAATTCATTTTTTGAAAATATGCTCAAAAGTCGAATTGGCCTTTTATTGTAAGCTAGCAATAGGACTTTTTCAGAGTTTCAGAGATGTTTTCCTATAAAATATGGTAAATAAATAGCTAGATTCATGGTAATATTACTAAATCTAGTACTGCCTTATTAGTTTCAGAGTGATAATAATTTATATAGCACCTTTCATGCATGGCATACAGCCCAAAGTTGCACACAGGATATAGATATTTGCTGTTAGGCCAGTGGTTTCTTGTTAGGCCAATTCAGCATATACAGGAAGATGAGCAAGTATTTTTTTTATTATGAAAAACACTTTACATTACTTTTTTCCTTACAATTATAATTTATTATCTTTTATGAATATATCTGGTTGTATATATTGCTAATTTTCCATAAAAGAAACAAATGTATTTGAGTTTGTGTTTTATTTGAGTTTGATGTGTACAAATACTGTACTGTATATGATGATCACTCATAGGCTCATAAAAACAAAACTGTGAGGCCAGTCAACAAAATGAAAATGGTTTGTGGTTATTTGTGGCCCATTTCATAAAAAAATGCAAACAACTCATTTTTCCATAGCTTTTTTCTTGGTCTGGCAGTTAAAGGGTTAACATGTTCGATCTTGTTGTTCATATGAAAATCAGCTGACAACAAATATTTTATCATAATCTTCATTTTGTGTTATTTTGTTTAGGGAAGACAGAGAGAGATGGGGATGTCTTCGAGACAGTGGCACCAACAGTTATACCAAGTGAAAACGCTAGGGTGGCAAACCCCTAAAGCAGGGGTCTCCAACACGTTGATCACAAGCTACCGGTAGCTCGCAAGCCCTCGACAGTAGGTCGACAAGCAAATCCAAAATGTAAAAAGTACACAAAAAACAAAAGGGAATGTAATTAAAAGAATCTACTCTATGCATAAACGAAACCTCAATCATAGCTCTATCTACTTACCACACCTCTATATCTATCTAACACCCCTCCTCCCCCCACAATGAATATCGACCAATCACGTTCTTGCTTGATTTGCGGGGGACCAGCATTACAGTCGGGAAGAAAAGCAATGTGGAGCGGCACCTCACCGCTTCATAGGGAGTTTGACCCTGATTTCCCGTCTGGCAGAATCTACACAACACATCAGCCTGATTACTCCCTCTTTTATTAGTTTTATGAAGGAGATGTCCGGTCACCAAGGTGCATGATGTGAGTCTGTTTGTGCTCTGCTCAGCTCCGCTCTATGTGTGTGTGTTCTGAGTGTTTGTTTCCCTGTGAGCAGCAGATACTCCGAGAGTCACGGACATTAATAATTAATAGCACTACACCTCTGGCCGAAATGTCCATCAAATTAAGTCTGAGTTCGAAATATATCTCAAATAATGTATACACTGTCATTTCCCCACGTAAACATAAACAGTCTGCAATTAAATGGTTGTCTCCTGTGTGCTCCACTTCTTCCTTGGCGCACCGGTAACTTTCTCAAAAAAAAGGTTAGTTTCTCGTGCACATACTTTCTCGTGCTCACGAGATTTTTTTTTTTTTCATGTCCCTTTAGGGGCTCCGTAGAAAGTAATCTAAACATTTGAAAAAAAGAAATAGTGCCACCTACGATCTGGAAGAGGATGAAGGAGAAGATGCTGGCGAGGAAGCACATGAGGGGAACCCGCATGATGACTTTGAGGATGTGATGTTTATAGACCGTTAGGTTCTCTGAGATCTGAATCTGCTCGTTCAACAGGAAGGGGCGGCTGAAGGCGTACACCACAATCACCGACTAGGGAAACAAAGCATGAAGAAATATGGGATTTCACTGATTTCAGTAGATCCACCACAAAAATACAGCAAACATAACGCAACAATCAACTGAATCTGTATATACTGTATATAGGTGTTTTAACTTAAAGGTCCCATGTCATGGCCATTTCCACTGATCATAATTCCATTGTTGAGGTCGACTAGAATAGATTTATATTGTGCAATTTTCCAAACTCACATTGGTTTCGCATACAGCATCTCTGTAAAGTATGTGTATTCAGCAGTATTCACTCTCTCCACTAAACGGCTCGTTGCAGCTCTTGCCCCCCCCCCCTCCCTGTGAGCCCAGTGTGCTCCGATTGGTCGGGACCAGTCGGGACGTTGTGAATCGCGCTGAGCTCCGTGGAGGTGTGATTTCCTTGTTTAGCGATACACAGCCAAACACAGCCAAACTCACCCTGAGCACACACAAAGTCACAGCCGAAGTAAAAACAATAAGTGTGGCTTGATACTGAGTAAGAAAAGGGTTGATAAACGCTGTGAGAATGGGTCTGCAGAGAGAATGGGTCTGCAGTGAGAACGGGTCTGCAGAGAGAACGGGTCTGTAGAGAGAATGGGTCTGCAGAGAGAACGGGTCTGCGGAGAGAACGGGTCTGCAGAGAGAACGGGTCTGCAGAAAGAATGGGTCTGCAGAGAGAACGGGTCTGCAGAGAGAACGGGTCTGCAGAAAGAATGGGTCTGCAGAGAGAATGGGTCTGCAGAAAGAACGGGTCTGCAGAGAGAACGGGTCTGCAGAGAGAACGGGTCTGCAGTGAGAACGGGTCTGCAGAGAGAATGGGTCTGCAGAAAGAACGGGTCTGCAGAGAGAACGGGTCTGCAGAAAGAATGGGTCTGCAGAGAGAACGGGTCTGCAGAGAGAACGGGTCTGCAGAAAGAATGGGTCTGCAGAGAGAATGGGTCTGCAGAAAGAACGGGTCTGCAGAGAGAACGGGTCTGCAGAGAGAACGGGTCTGCAGAGAGAACGGGTCTGCGGAGAGAACGGGTCTGCGGAGAGAACGGGTCTGCGGAGAGAACGGGTCTGCAGAGAGAACGGGTCTGCGGAGAGAACGGGTCTGCAGAGAGAACGGGTCTGCGGAGAGAACGGGTCTGCGGAGAGAACGGGTCTGCGGAGAGAACGGGTCTGCGGAGAGAACGGGTCTGCAGAGAGAATTTCGCCGCGATCCCAACTGTCTGTTATCAGCCTGCAGCCAGGGAGGAGAAATCAGCTGAGCTGCCTGCACTGAGTGTGTGAGGAAGTCCGTGGATTGGTCAATTTGGACCAATCAGCGGGGGCTTAACGTAACGGCTCCGCGGACGTAACATAACGGCTCCACGGATTGGTCCATTTCGTTCCGGGTACGGATGACATCATGCGACCCCGGAAGAATCAAATGGACAGTGACGTATCTCCAACGAGGCGTTTTGGGGAGGTATTTTCTGTGTTAGAGTTTTACTCGCTACAGGGTGTACTTTGAGGGTTTTGACTCTGCACACCGTTTACATGCAGAAAAACCTTCATAACACACAAGGGGACGGGTAATAACCGGAAAAGCATGACATGGGACCTTTAAGACATCCATTTTGGAAATTGGTGAACTTAAAAAAGAAAAGAGAAAATAATTATTTCACTATAATAAATGGCTCACCTGTATGACACCCATCACCATCACACAACCACAAAAGAGTAAAATCCCGAGGATGTTCTCAGGGAAGGTGGCCATCAGAGAGAACTGCAAAATATGACATGCCGTAATGTTACTGAGCAATACAGAGCAAAAATAGCAAATAGTGTGATGGATTTAACGACCATTAAGCAGTGTCTCATACTCACTGTGTACGGTAGAAAGGTTATCAGCATCATGCAGGCCTGAAATAAAACCCAAAGGAAATATGAACAAAAAGTCAAATACTTTTAGGTATAACACTAAAAGATTACTTTTTTGTTGAGAATTCATTATTATGCACTTTCTTTGTATAGCAAATTAGTTAATATGCCCAAACCAACTTTAATATCTCTGTTGAATCAGACCTTAAATCTTTTTTAAATAAGATTTGTACTAATTGGACAAGCGTCCGTAAGTACATTCGACCAGGAAGACACAACCTTGAAGAAAACAGAATCATAAAGTACATCAGGTTTCATAGAGCCAAAACATTTCAAGTGCTACTCAACTGGCTTTAGATAAGCCAGTCCTTTATTAGTATAAAAGTGCTTCGTTAATAGTTCTATCGCTCAAAGATTGTATCCTTTGCAGACCATTTACATGTACACAAACCTATATAGCACACTACAGGAAATGGAATACCCTAAAAAGCATAATAGGGCCTCTTTAATTAAATATCCAAAAGTATTATGAAGATATACTTCAATTAATCTATCACAAGAGGTTAATTAAAGGTTAGTTAGCATACAGTGACTTTGTACTTACAAGGTTCAGCAGTGCAAGGCAATCATCAATGCGTACAATTACTTGAAACAATCTGTGAAATTCAGCACAAAAATAGGCAAGTCATAAATATAAACCTCAAAACTGCTCCTATACTTAGTACTTCGTCAAATATGACTTCTATAAATGATCATATACTAATAATACTAATGTACCTGATATGAGCAGCCCATGCAACAGTCACAATGAGGAATGTCATTAAGTAAACAGCAATCTTTGTTGACAGCAGAAGCTGAACACTCTGCCTCAGCCCCTGTAAGCAGACACATAGATTCATACTTGATCTTTTCAGCAGTCTCACTGCAGAGACTTGCAGACCCAACTACCACTGAAAACACCTTGTTCTAAGGGGGGTCGCTTTTATGGAATAAAATAATGTGCGATTACACGTCTTACCTCGTCATTATTTTGCAACTTTGTATGTGCAACAGGTAAGATCTGTGAATATAAGATGATACATTATGAGAAACATCATATGTTCAGAGAAAGGCACATGTTGTTGAGAAAATGGATTTCCAACTGACCAGTAAGCATGTTCAGTGTATGTTAAGCGCCCTATTATGAATATTATCACGGCTAATTTCAACCATAAATGAAAGTATCAAGCATGAACACACTTTAAACTCACTGTAGCTGTGTTTTCAAATTCCCTTAAAGTGGCTGACATAATTAGAAACATTAGTTATATTTGTCTAGTTGATGATATTGTATGATCTTGTACCATGTACTTACTGAGATTGAATTAAAGTTGAACTTACTCTGTAGGCTATAGCACTGCTATAATCCCATTATAACTAAAGTAAGCAAGTATCATTCCTACTATGACTCTTAAAATGTCTGACTAACATTAAATACTCATTGTATGCCCTACCCAACCTCTCTCCCATCTTCCCCAATTCAAAAGGAAACTCTGGTTTAAAGGGCATTAAGATGATATGCTTGAGTACAAGTAGACATACCACACACCATAGATACACTTCCTTCCTACTCTACTTAGTTACTTGCTTCCGACCTCTGACAGTAGGCTATGTAAATATTATTATTACTGGACTATTATCCACTGCTCCCCCCCCCCCCCCCCGGCAGCCCTCGGGTTGGTGGTGGCTGCAGTCGCTCAGCAGCAGCATGTGTTATTGAGATAGAGCTTGGTGTCTTTACCATGACGGTGGCGATGATGGAGATGAGCGCGTCGCTGTAGGCCAGCAGTCTGTGGGAGGACTGGGTGCCGCTGTGGCCCTCTCTGTCGGACGGAGTGACGCTGCCCGGGAAGCTGGAGGAGGCTGTGCGGCTCCTCGTGCCTTTCTTCTCCATCTCCTCCTCGACATGGTGCTCTATTATCTCGCTGTTGTCGTTTTCCCCCATGGTGGAGGAGCTAGAGGGGCGCAGAGGACGAGGCGGGGACCATGGACCAGGCGGACGGACTGTTTGCAAACAACGGAGGAACAGCTGACTGAGGGCGGGAAACCGGAAGCAGGTGCCCGTATGTTTTTTCTGTTGGCAACAAAGATCGTTGATGGCGGAGTAGAGTACCCACGTGGTGATCAAAAACGAAATATTTTTTTCTCTGTGTGTGTGTTTTTTGGTTAATTATGACTCGAGTTTATCTTCGTTTTAGACGATTTTATGGTAGGCTACTCTAGAATCCAGAAATGAAATAAAACTGTTGAGAGACCACGTCTACAGCATGATTTTGTAAGTAGTTGGTTAACAAGATACTTTAAATTGATAAACAAAAATCGTAGGCAAACAATAGCTGATGGTTAATTATTGCATTTGAGCCTGTTTACCTTTATGCTACTACTACAATAGCCTGCTCAAACGTGACTGAAAGTAGAGTAACAAAAAGAGAAACTTAGTGCTAAGTGATACCTTGAACCTGCCACTGGGTGACAGTAGTGTTTTAAATTCTTGCCATGGTCATATTAATGTATGTTTAGTTAAAACACTGTATGGTCACCAGCAAGTTGCAACTAAACATTCTTCAACACATTTACTTTACAACGGTAGGCCTACATCTGTATTTCATCAGGCGGGCAAATGCCACACCATGTCTGAATCTACCCACTTGATGAGAATTTGTTTATCATGTTGTACATTGTTCATCTTTGTATTCCGCTATCCTCTTTTAGTAATTGTGCTGTAATAATACAAATTGGTTATAATCAGCTTGAGTAAAAAACAAACAAACACAGAGTATTCAGTGAATTAACTCAAATAAATCCTGAGTGTGAGAGGGACAGTAAATTACATCTAGTTTGTGTGAATATAAGGAGCTAAACAGAAATAAGAATGAACCCTCCACTTCATTCCTGCTTTAAGTGATTAAATAGCTTACATGTGCAGTACGCCTACTTAGTATATAGCCTGCTTTGTTTCTTTGGGTGGCGTTCCGCTTGTTGACAAAAATAGGAAAATATCCTGTGTTAGATTCAAATTGACCCTTTCTGCACGGCACACATTTGAGCACACGTGCAATCTGATTGGCTCTTTGCAAAGTAGCCTCCTCCTGTCTAGATGTATTTCTTCAATAGTAGCATAAGGCGCTTTCACACTGCGGTACTTTTCTCACAAAGGTTCATGTGAACTCTTTTATCGCGTTCACACCAAAAAGAGCCGGTACTAAAATTAGTTCATGTGAACCTTTTTACCCGCTCGAAAGTCCCTGCTAGAGAGCAGGGACTTTCGAGCGGCTCTTTTGTGAGAAAAGAGCTATATTTCTGATTGGTTGGAAGGATTGCAAACCACGCCCCGTAAAACTCCCAAAAAGTTTTGTGAAGCCGCCATTTTATTATCCTCGCATTAGCATTATTAGCATTAGCATTAGCCCAGCGCAGAAACGCAGAGAGACTAACTTATGGCAACACAAAATAAAACATGGGAGCGGTGGAGATGAGGAGGTGTCGGCGTTCTGGCGATTTACTCGGAAGGCTTCAGTAGAAGCTGCTGGGAGTCCCAGCAGCTTCTACTGAAGCCAGTCCCTAACTCCGGGGACTTCCGGCCGGGGACTTTGGGCGGCAGTATACGCCGTGAAGTGGTTTGCGGCCTGCCAGTAAAGCAGAAGAAGAACAAGTGACGTCAGCGGCTTCATTTGCCTAATCCACCCCCAGGGACTTTTTCCAGTGTGAACGCGATCTGTACTTAGTTCATGAGAACTAAAGAGTTCTCATGAACTAAGTTCACATGAACCTTTGTGGGAAAAGTACCGCAGTGTGAAAGCTCCTATAGAGCAGTGGTTCCCAAACGGTGTGCCGTGAGGCAAGTCCGGGTGTGCCGTGGGATTTTGTGACAACCATACGTTATTATTGCAATATACAACTACACAAAAATAATTATTTTTTAATTTACTATATCAGTACTTTGTAGGTTTATATGTACGTAATCTGCGCGACTTGCGCGTCCACATCTCCACGTGCAGTGCTGCATAAACATGGCTGAGTCAGCGATAACTCTCGAGGGGTGGAGGTCAGTGGCGGCGCCAGAGATTTTCTCTAGGGGGTGCTGTGGGGTAGCTTGACGTTTCATAGAGGGTGCTCAAACATTAAGGGTTTCCCATTAATGCACCAGCGCTACAGTTGAATTTTCTACTGCAACACCCCCCACACGCACACACAGTGTACCCGCGACAGCAGGGGTAAAGTGCTATTTTTACAAGTGGGGGGTGGACCTCACCTCCTCAGTGGGGTCCGGGGGCATGTTTCCCCCGGGAAGATTTTTTTAAATATTATAAGTTAAAAGCATCAATCTGGTGCACTTTGAGAGCAACATTAAGAGATCTATGGATACATCTCTCAACATCCATATGACACAGAACTGTAAACAGATTTTCTATTTCTTTAAAGATATTTTACAAATCACACACCCTTTTAAAACAAACCGTTTGAGACCCACTGAGATAACTAGACTAAAGTTAACTATCTAAACACTGAGAGCCCTTTACTTCACCTGAGCTGAGGTTATCTGAGACTCTCCGTCTGACAGGAGAGAGTTCTCCCTCCACCTTGTTGTTGAAAAAGCTCCTTATATCCGTTAGCTTGGCTAGCTAGCACCAGATGCTAACCACAACGATCTCCGGTAGATACCCACCGGTGCGCGAGGCGAGCTCTCTCTCTCGCTCGCGCACGCACACAAAATGGCTCGTGCCACACACACACAGAGCAGAGCTTGAATGAAACACAGAGACCAGAGAAGCTACTTGTAGGCTACTCACGACGCTAGGCTATTATGTGTAGAATCCCTCTCGCTTTCAGGTGGTTTTGATTGAGTGTCCACACGTGGACGTTTAAGGACTAAAACACGATCCATCTTTCACTTTGCTGTTAGCAAATAATTTGGTGCTCTAGCTAACAGGAAGTAATTTAGCCTATGGATAGGTCAAAAATGTAATGGGTGCTGGCCATTGGCCTAATCATATCACCTGTGTTGGCTTTATGTTTTTGGTCAAACATTTGTTTGTTTCACATTTGCATTGATGTAATCAATAATGTTTCTAATTTAATACAAATAATAATAATAATAATTTTCCAAAAAAAAAGAAGAAAAAAAAACATATTTCTTGGGGGTGCTTTGGCAATCCTGGGGGGTGCTTCAGCACCCCCTAGCTCCCCCCTGGCGCCGCCCCTGGTGGAGGTATGCGCATTATTTTGAGTTCGTCCGAAGAATAGACAGGAATGTGACGGTGAGGTACAAACTGTGTCCAGGCCAGAAGCTGTTATCCACTGCTGGAAACACCACGTCAAACCTCAACAAGCACCTGCAAAGAACACATGCTAAGGTGAAGCTAACGCACACGCTATTTGTTGTTTGTCTATATCACGTAGTCTGTTCTTCTTCTCTGTCTTCCGGTTGTTGCCTGTTTTGAATGACAAATACACACTACCGCCGCCTGCTGGTAAGGAGAGTTATTGCCACTCACGCATGCGCAGTTCGTACGTGCTCGGCGAGTATAGTAACAAATTACTTTATGTAGATAGTTACGAAGTAATGTAATATATTACTTTTTTTAAAGTAATATGTAATCAGAACAAAAGGAGGTCACGGCTCTCTGTTGAACAGGACTTGCGAGTGGCCCTCTCCTCAGCGCCCCGACACGCACATGTATCTCACTAATTTGTAAGTCAGCACATGTTTCAATGCTGATTGCTGAAATGTTACATTTATCATTTGTAGTTCAGGACCATGGACAATGCAGCTTCCTTGCATTGACAGTTCTCTGTGCTGAATTTCTGCTGAGTTTCCTTTGCCTCATTTTTAATGTTGTGACCTGTCTGGTTTAAATGAGTGTGTTGCTGCTTTGATGAAGCCTAATTTGATAAAGTTTCAAATAAATTTCTGAAATATTTCGTTAATAAATATTTCATGAGTAATATAGTTGTCTTTGTCACATTTTATTTGGCATTAGTAAATAATTATGCACATTTACAGATATTTTACATGATATGAGTGATAACACGTGTTATAAGGGCTATTTTGCACAATAGGTGTGCCTTGAGATTTTTACTTGTCCTTGGGTGTGCCTTGGGCACAAAAAGTTTGGGAACCACTGGCATAGAGGTCACACCACTTGGTTTTACTTTGCGTTTAGTTAATTGAACACAGCATATTCAGCTTGTGATGACACACCCTGATTTACATTAGAGTTTATATTTCAGTGATGCGGTAAATGTTCTTGAAACATGACTTGTCAAAAACACAGTAAACATGTGAGGCACTCTTCTGCCTCTAGAGGGAGACATCATGCTGTGTCTGGCAAACATTTCGAGAGGGGTCTGCCTGCAGACCTCCACTCTCAGGACAGTTCCGGTGCAGACCTCCACTCTCAGGACACCTCCACTCTCAGGACACCTCCACTCTCAGGACAGGAAGTGCACACTAAGAATTCCAAAATAAAATCACCACTATCAGTACAGTGCCACTTTCCAAACAGGAAATGCACGCAAATAGAAATTAAAATCGGATCGTGACACTTATTATATACATATGTATATATATATATATATATATATATATATATATATATATATATATATATATATATATCAGTGACGTGCGGTGAGGTTCATGGCTGGTGAGGCACATTTACAAATATTATATTTTGACCTTAATCGAAATGTTCGGTTATTTTCAAAAGCTTTTTTAGTCTGATGGTTTGATTCATTTTAAACAGACCGTTCAACAAAAGGATACCCAAAATCTAAATATTGGATTGTTCTTTCTTAGTAAGATCCCATGTTCATTACAATTGTGGTCTTACCTTGACTTGAAGATGAAGTCCATGCTATCCTTCTGGACAACAATCTCCATTACATTTTTGTAAAAGTCCTCCTTATCTTCCTCTAGTTTCAAAAGTCTAGCTTGTTGTTTGCGTCTGCGTAGAATAACAGTAGCAACAAGAACCTGTGGGCTCACGTGCGCCCCCTTCAGTGCGGCAGAGGTTATGGCTGCCTCTCCTGGTGCTTTTTTGATTGCCGTTGTATGATGAGACCAGCGGGCCT